AGGGAGATGAGTCACCACGTAGGATCCTAATTCTTCTCGTGGTAGATCCTGGGTCCATGTCCCTGAGCTGATATAGGCTTCGTTTTAATTTTGCAACATCAAAAGGCAAAAAGCAGTCCTTCACACTGGTGTTCTGTGGGTAAATTTCTGGGGCTCAGAAACAAAGGGAAAAGTGGTTCAGGCAGGTGCCAGATACCTTTAATCTGATCCCCACAGCACTTTCTTTCCAGGCTGAATACACACGCAACAGAAAATATGTCACCATATAGACCTTTCTGACTGTTACCAAGTGGCAAAAGGGGTTTGACTTGCATTGGATTTTGGGGTTAGCAGACAGGCTCTTAGCATCCCAACAGCCAGGAAATGGCTATTAACTGTCAGCCCTACAGGACCATGTCCATTGCAAAGAGCTCCAGTGTGCGCACGTGCACGGTTTTGATTTTCTAAATGGATATGCTAGAAGTGGATGCAGAACATATGGCATGTGTGTTGTCATCGCTGTTATATTATACACAAATATATTGTTTTTTTTTTTTTCCTCTGGGAAGGCTGAGGCCTCCCTGCTCCCAGTGCTTTGGGTCCCAGTACACGAGCAGACCTGCTGCCAGGGCTGGGTGACTGGAGCTGCTGATGCTACAAGGTGATATAGCCACCAGGGAGAAAGCAGCAGCACTGATATGTTCTCTGTATGGACCAGAAATAGCATTTAATTCCCCAAATTCCCTGTGAATCTGGTCTGCGGGGAGCACTAAGGACAATTCGGTTCTTCAGAGCAGAGGAGCAATGGGATACGAACTGCTTGATTCTTTTAAGAGCTGAAAAGAGGTCAACAATGAAAATGTTAAGGATCCTTTCACCTTGAATACTTCAGGTTTTGTTCAAAGGGGCAGAATAGCTACACAGAGCATCCAGCAAAAGACAGAGCAAGTTGTAAGAGGTGTGGCAGCTCATCCATGGGAGGGAAGGTTAAATTGATTAAGAGACAAATGAGAGGTGATATGTTAGCGGTATATAGGATAGTGAATTGCCTGAAGAGGTCAGCCAGACCATCCTATTTAGCCTTTCCCATAAATCAAGAGCAAGTGGAGTGCTATACAATGGTGCTAAAAGCTAATGAATTTAAAAGTGATACAAGTTAAAATATTTTCTTACATGGTGCATAATTAACCTGGGAAATTCATCAGATACCATTAAGACAAAGAGCCTGGCAGGATTAAAAATGGATAATAAGTGACAGAAGCTACATAAAGATAGAAATGTATACAGGGTGTTCAGCCATTTACTTAAAACCATTTGCTGCCTGGGGCTGCAAAGAAACATGCCCTGTGGGAAAGCTCAAACATAACGATTGGACTTGTACCTTCTTCAGTGCAGTGGGTAGGCTGGAGGCTGAGCAATGGATTGGTCGAACCACTTCCAGTATGGTCACTCATTTTCCAGAGTGGGTAATTAATTGGCACACATTCTGAACTTGCAGCGTTTTATGGTCCCTTCTTAAACTTATGAAACAGAGCTGCCTGCTTCTCCTGAAGGTGTAAGACGTCGCCCCAGCTTTTTTGGAGATGCAGGGACAGGCTGCTTTGCTGTGCAGTGGTGGGTTCCCTGTGCTTCTGAAGTATTTCTGAGGGTTGAAGAGTCAGCTTTGAAAAGCCAGTAACCATCTCCACAGTTCAGAGTTTCTAAGGCAAATTTCTACTTGTTCCTTTTTGCTCTGAGACCGCCCTGTCCTGGGGTTATAGGGATGAGCAGGGCTGAGTGCCTGCAACAACCCTAATAACATTATGTGGGTGAATTCAGAGGAAGAAAGGATGTGGAATATAAAGTTTCTGGGGGAAAAAAAAACAAAACAAAAAACAAACAGAATGAGGCTGGATAAAATGAGGACTAAAATGTAGTGTAAAACTCTTTTGACACAGCTGGCTCTGTGCCTCAGTTTCTCACACCACCAGTGTGCAGCGGTATTGCATCCCCAATTCTCATGTCTTGACTTCTGGGCACAAGTCTTTTGAACTTCAATATATGTTTTGTGTGATAAAAATGAAGTGATGGCTCATGTTTTGTATCCAACATACAACCTGACCTTTGTAACAAGGATTTGTAAGGAAAAATGGGCATTAATTCTTGTAGTATTTGAGATAAAATGTAAAAATAGTATGTGGTACATTAGCAATGGTACAGTATATCAATTTGCTGTGATAACACAAGGTGAATTGGCACAAGGATGAGATTGCTGCTTTAGTAGCATCCTGCAAGCATTCCCTCAGTGAAACCTACTGACCAACAAGGGCTGGAGAACTTGAGCAGTGATGGTTTTGGGTACAGCCTGACCTCAGCAGGCCGCTTGCTGAAGATTTTTCTCCTGTGTTGCCCTTGGTCCTTAGGAAAGTTATTGTTTTTTCTTTTTTTTTTCTTTTTTTTTTTTTTTTTTAATCCAAAGTGAGTGCTAGAGAAGGCTCTTATGTTCTGCAAAACAAGGCATTGCCCTGGGCCCCGTTTATGCATCCTGCAAAAAATCAGGACTTGTGACTGAGACCTGCATCTGTGATTTTGCCTGGCTTCCTTATGCTCCATGTTTCCTTTCTGAGGCAGGAATTTGATGCAGGAGAACCTGCTGTGCCGTGATAGTATGTGCATTCCCTGAGGCTTGTCTTTCAGCCTCTTCTGAGAATTAGCCATGTAAAATCTATATGCAGCCCGATTGCAGTGGTGATTGTGGTCCCAACTTACTTTCCAGCTTTCTTCCAAACTCTACCCATGGTCTATAAGCTATGTAGAAATTGATTAGCTGAAATTTGTTCAGGGCAGTTTGTGTCCTCTTTTAGCGGTTCCTCGGCAATTTAGGTTGTCTTTCTCATCGTTTGCTCAGGAATTCTATTTTGCATTTGAATTTCTTGAGTTACAAACTGACAATTTTTTCTTGCAAAAGTTTAAGACTCAATACATCAGTTTTTATTTTTCTTTTAATGAGAAATCTTTATAGCTGGAAATACCCTATTCAGTTCCATGACAGGTCTCTTTCTGATGTCTCCTTTTACTATAGCAGTCCCAGTTACTAGGACAGCTGTCTTTTCCCAGGAGTTTGAGCAGAAGATACTCTATAGAGGGAAAACATGCAGATAAACACCTTGATTCTTGGATGCATTTGTCTCTGCTGCGTTCTCAACCTTTATTTTCCTGATCATTTACCATGAATCACAATAGCTCCTTGCTGAAAGTATCTGTGGTCTTTCTCAAACTGAAGCTAGCTCCGGAAAAAGAGGTCTTCTGCAAGTTTAATTTTGACTTGCTAAAAATTCAGTGAAGTTTGAGCAAAACTTCTACCAAGTCATAGAAAATATTCTTGTAATAATTGGAGGAGCAATGTGGTGGTGATATAGTCCCAGTGAATTGTTTGTGCTGGTCAGAGGCCAAATTCAGACATTTTTGAGATTTGGAAATGTGTGTGTCCACAAACAAAAAAGAGTTTGCTGGAGCCCTGGGCTGTGAACTTGGTTAACAGAGAGCAAACTACCTGAGAAAGAGGAAAAAGAAACCCCACTGCAGTTTGCAGACTTGCAAATAATTTTCTCTTTTCCACTTTTACCATCTTTTGTCTGGCTGCTTTCTGCCCTGAGGGGCTGATGGCAGGAGCTGTGAGGTTTGCTCTTTGCAAAACCATTGAGTCAGTAATTTTTCACACTGAATTCATGTAGATATTAAAGGAGACAGGCAGAAGACTGGTCTCCTGGGAAGGGGAGCAGCTTGGTAGCAAGGCATGGTTATTTCTTTTCTGTTGTCAGGATGAGAAAGGATTTTGTTGTTGTTGTTGTTGTTTTTGTCTGCTATGCACCCCGGATGAATATGCTCCTCTGATGAGACCCACTTGTGTCCTCACACTGGCTACCCACGTATCAGGCTTCTATCTTTCACAAAGCATTTTGTAGACAATTCAGCACATTTGGAAAGAATTCATGTAAGGCACCCTTCAAAACCAAAGAAAGACTTCTGTGTCCAAAAGTTTGCTTGATTTTTTAATTTTTTTTTTCCCCCCCTGTCCCAACCAAACAAGCTGATCTTAGGAGAGATATGGGTTCATTTCATATATATGCTTATAAAAATAAGAAAAGAGGAGCCTCCATGCTCTGAAGAAAGCTCAAAAGATGATTAATTAATTAATTAAGAGTCTTTTCTTTGGAGTGCAACAGGATCCGAGTAACAAGTGAACTTTTCATTTCCAGTAATAGCAGAAATTACTTCAATAGCATGATTGTGAGCACCCGTGGGGCCATAATGTGAATGGTTTTATTAAGGAATAGACTGAACTTCTGACTATCTTTCTTCCAGTCATTTCCAAAAGGCTATAAACAGCGCCTGGTTTGTTGCTATTAAAAGAGTCTAAAGACAACGATGCTGAAAGGCATTACTGTTTAAGTACTCATGGCTTGACATTACCATGAAAAATATTTTCTTGAAAGTAAAGTGAATTTGGGTTCCCCAGAACATCATAGTTTTGTTCGGAAATGATTATGTTGAATATTTGAGATATGGGAGAGATGTTTGTTTGGTTTTGTGATTTTTATTTTAATCACTGATGGCTACCCTTCCGTTTAGCCTGATTTTTTTGGACATGTATGAAGTCAGAAAACATCTTGGGGGCAATTTTTATATGTTCTTGGTGTTATTTTCTGCCTGTGTTAGTACCTGATGAAAGACCCTGGTCTTAGTTAATGATCAGGCCTCATTATATGATTGTTTTCCCATAAATGACTGCTCTGAGGAGCAACCTTTCCCAAATAACATGGTATTTTGCAAAATGATGCTAAGCAAAAACGGAAGTAATCCATGATCTGCTGAGGTGATATTGAAGACATATCTCTCGTGCACAGCAGACCTATGCATTAATCCTATGTTTTGGGGTCTTTAATTGCTTTAAATATTTGCTTCTAGATCTGTGTTTCACACATCTTATTTACATGGTTTATTTTTTCATTTTATGAACAAATCGATAACCAGACAGACTCTTTACCACACTGGATTAGTTTTATTTATTCTCTTTGAACTTGATTAAAAAGCTGTCAAACATAAGTCCACATTTTATCAGCAGAATACTTTTACAAAACAGGGTAGAGGATGTGTATAGCTGGAAACATACATTTCAAAATGAAACAATATTTGATATATTCTAGACAGTTACCCTTTTGTTTATCCATGACAACTGAAACTAACCATCAAATGCATAAATTGATTCAAGTCTAGCCAAGTAATCCTAAGGGCATATGAAAAAGCTTTTTTTTAAAGTTCTTTCTAGATGAATTTAATGTAGTTCACCAATAAAGCATCCTCAGGAGCACAATACAAATGCTACAGAACATGAGATAGCTGGGGAAAGCGGGCAGATGTACAGTGTGATGAAGAATCAAAATGGATGTTACATTAAAATGAGCAGTCATGCAATGTCTTCATTTCATGTACTGCACTTAAGTGAAAATGCCAAAGTTACAATTTTGTTTTTAATTTTTTTAGGCACTGTTATGCAAATAGTGACATTCTGGTGGTGTTTGTTTTTTTTTTTTTTAATTTGCTTAAAAGTATTAAATATATAATCTTTTTTTTTGAACTCTTGGGGTAGGCAAATTGATTATTCATCATGACTTTAACTTTCAATATGTATCAAAGAGAGAGGTAAATTATACTCAAATTAGCTACAAACGATCTGGTATCGCTGTTTTAATTCACTGCCTTTAATATACATATTTTAATCCATTTCCCACAAATCTCCTCAGTTACTATTTGTCTTTTTGTGACATTGCATATGTTGGTAAACAGCATTTTCTATGGTCTTTGGCCATATGCTGTGTGCTCATCTTGCAAAAAAAGTGACACTTGGAGTGCTAGCATAATGAAACTCTCAAAGGGTTAATGCAGAATACATATAGGCAAATGTTGACAGTATTTTTTATTCCAATGTTTGAAAATTAAACACAAAATCATCATTAAGTTTTCACAAAATGAGGCATCTGTCACTTGAAGGAAAAAGAAATATTTCAGAAATATGTTTACAGAAATGTAAAAATATTAGACATCAAGACAGATGTGAACGTTTTCAATAACAGGCCCTGTCTGTCAGTCTTCCTCAGAGCCGAAGATCTTGCTGTACTCACTCAACATAAGTTCAACTATCTGATTTTGGTACAGCATGTGGACTGCCATGTTCCCTGTCTCCTTTTCGGGTCTAAGGAGTGTTGGTCCAAACACAATTCCCAAGCTTTGTGTTGACATAAGATTCACGGATTCCTTGGCTGCTATCCTGTTGACGAAAGGAAAGAATTGGTTAAAAAAAAAGAGGGATGTCAAAGGAGTCGCTGTTGCATTGGAAGTACATAGAGGCAATTTTTATTGATTCTCCTAATGTTTGCTTGATTAAGTTATCAAAAAGAAAGAAAAAGAGGAAGAGCCAACTTCTGCCAACCTGACAAACAAGGTAGGAGTCAACCCCAGTCAGCAAGACGTGCGTGGGGTGGAAATCTAGAACCCCATTTACAGTGCTCTTGTGTCAGGGCACAATTATATCTAGTGAATGACTATTAGTTGGTACATGTGCTATAAGGCGATAATTACTGAGCTCATACATTTGGATACCCAAAATAGGGATTGCTCTTTACGCTGAGAGAATCGAGCACTTTTGGTGCCAACAGTTTTGGTGGCTTCACGGAGAAGCTTCCCTGCTTCTCTTAACATGGTGTCCAACACTGAAAGAGTTGTGAAAACAAAAAAACCCCTGTAATATAGAGCTCGTATGAAACACATTCCTTCTGCTAATTTAAATCCAATAAAGATAGTATGGTCTGAAATGGATTGTGAAATTTATATAACTAAAGACATTTGCATGCCTTACCCTGACACAAAGTTTCTTGAAAGACACTGAGACCACGTACCTTAATGAGATGACTTAGAAAATAATGGTAAGGATTACAACCTTTGATATCTTTATTACCCGCAAAATTACAAGAGGAGGACTATTATTATTAAAAGTTGATCTTATGTCTGTATTAAGACTTAATATTCTTGTGGAAAGGACATTAAGGATGGAGAAGTCTGGTCTAAGAACAATATAGGTTTAATGGATGGAGTTGAGGTCGGCAGTTTCGCATAAATCTCTGCAGCGGTGAGTATGAACTAAGTAGAAATCCATTTCCTCCCACCCTCCAGAATATATAATATGTCCTAGGTTGGAAAGACTAGTAAATGAAGATACATATTTTATAAATAAATTACACAGCTCTACCAAGGAATGTGAACTAAATGTAACTTTAATATATAGATGTTTGAATTTATAGGTGCCTCCTTAACCTGTTAGTTTTAACTTAAATATTCCAAGTGGATGTTGAAGCCAAGTTCTGCTTTTTCCCCTTCTCTTTGTCACTCATTTATCTTTTTAAAATCCAGACAGCAGTTTCAAAATCATCCTAGCTGTCTCTGTTTCCTGTACCTTTTGCTGAATTTACATTAAGCTATGCTGTAGGTGAAAGAAACTTCATCAGACATAATGATTTTGGTCACTTAAAAAAGGTTTCTTTCATATCAGTGGGTGGGTCACACGGCAAAGAGCATCGTCTTGTGGATTTCTGCCAGTCTTGGCATTTATCACGTTCCTTGAACATCACTGCTTGTGTATTTTTTCCCCCATATATAAATAGGAAGCATTACTTAGTTCTGCCTCATGCTTGCAGCCATGGTGTCCGTTGCACAAAACACTCTCCATATGGCACTAATCAGATTGGCTTAATTATTAGTTTCTTAAAATATAACATCTTTATTACAAATTAAAAAAAAATAATTATCTTTCCTCTGTGGTAATATTAACATATCATCTCTTCTCTTAAGAGTTCAGAAAGTCCCAAAACTTAGTAGATTTTTTGCCAAATGACTGTGTGGGCTTCTGATGAATGTCACACATCTTTATCACAATTAAAAATGTTTGTTCCAGAGGTGACAAGGTTGTTTTCCTGACACTTACACAGAAGCACATACATTGAGCTTGTGTCCTCCCTTTGAGTGCTTGATTTCTGTCGAGCTTGTTACATGCTAGAAGTTGGAAAACTTGGAATTATGTACAGTCAACATCAGCATGGGTAGAGATGCTAGTTCACCGGGGGAAAAACCAGCAGAATAATTGCCCTTGTTTTTCCCAGAGATGCCATTCTGCACACCGAGTTCTGTTCGAGACCAGGCATTGCAGCCCCTCAGCTCTTGGGAGATGAGGGTATGGCATGAAGCGAGGGAGGATGTGCATGGTGTGATTCATCGATATGGAATGTGGCACCAGGAACATCCCCATGTATTTGGGACACCTAACTTTAATGTTAGCATAATAATGCTTGTACTGATAAAATCCCTGGGAAATTATGGATATTTTCTGCCTATTCATGCAGTCATACTTCTTTTGATGACCATAATAACAAAAAACTATAAACCAAGCAAACTTGGAAACATGGAAAGCCTGAATTGTCAAATAATCTGTCAAAAAATACAGCTACTGGAGGGAAAGAAGGAAGGAATTTAATCCAGCCTAAATGAAATAATTATAAGTTTGGGACATTATGCCTTTTAAAATTGCAAATATTTACCAATAAAATTCTATAGTTAATATTTTTTAATTCATCCACAAAAGAAAAAGTCAAAGCAAAATAAAAACACATATGCATAATTTAAACTATTACTGTAGCTGCTAAATGAAAATCAGTTGTTAAAAGAGAAAATCTCTAAAAAATGGGCAGGATTTTTTTTTTCTTTTCTTTTTTTTTTTTTTTTTTTTGCCAAGAAAAAGGGCAGAAAGGGAGATACATCATTTGCAACATAAAAAGTGAAAGGAAATGCCGGAGCTACTTTTTGTCAAGCCCAAATGAAAGGAGCAATGATCCATCAATTTAAGATTATTTTAGAAATAATCTATAATCCAGTGCCACAGATGTTGGAAGTGTATCAAGAAATCGTTGTGCATTATGCTGTGCAAAATTTCCCTCGCAAATAAGTGAGCTGATCTGCAAACTTCAAGAATGGTGTCAGTCCTTTAAGATTACAAGTCAAGAGATACACAAAAAATACAGTTCTCACTAGTAATTAAATTAATGATGTATTAAAGCTCCAGAAGTGTCTGATAGGAGGCCTCTAGTGTCAATGGCAGATACATATAAGCAAAAATACTTGGAATTTATGCTTTGGCTGTTGCCAGGGCAACCATAAGCTGGGAAGTGTGTGACTGAGAGCTGGGCAACTCTACAGCTGAGAGGGTCATTGTATGGTGAGTTTAGCTCTCTAGTTCCATTAAACCCACACTTTTCAAACTCTCTAAATAAAATCATTATTAATTTTGACCTTCAGAAAGCACACTGGATTATTACTTCAAACACACTAGGTGTTAGGAAATGTTCTTCATCCGTTTTTACTCCATAATAAATGCATTTCTCTCTTCAGCAGTTCAACAGGGACTCTGATTCCTCACCGTTATAATGTTCCTAGCGCACGTTAATAATTGGAGAGAGAAGTCAGCATATTTAAGGAGGAAAACCCTATTCAAAAGGGCTCTGTTTAAACTGGAGATCGTTTGAGGGTAGACCTGTCCTCTGCTAACTGTAGTGAGAATTGCTCAGTCTTGCTTTCTTAGTCCTTTCCAGCCTATGAGGATTTCAGTTTACTCAATGTTGGCATTTTTACCCTTAGCAGTGCTGGTTTTAGCCTTGCCTAGTACTCTTTTACTGTCTTAAGTTATATCTAAGGGTTACTTTTCATGCAACTCTTCCATGAACTGGTAATATAGACTATGACTGAAGACCAATACATTATAAAATGAGGGGATCAGAAGAGTGAGTCATCTGGTGGGAAAATTATGGCCAGAATAGCAGGCGTAGGAAATGCCATCCTCTGAATTTGGTAGAGGACTAAGGGATAGAAGTAGGTTTTGATCTTATCAGAATCTTGTCCACCAGCACTATGCATAATATTTTATTTAACTAGGGAAGTTGCTGCCATGAGAGACAGAAACCAAGATCTCAACAGAGGCCAAGAAAGATTAAAGACTTATGGGAATAAAGAAAACTCCCTAGAAAGGAGAAAATGAAGCGTATAATAACCAATCTCACAGAATTAGGAACCAACTCCTCTCTTATGGGATTATTCCATGACAGCCCATTTGGGCGGGTTTTGTACCTTTCCTAGCCTGTGCTAGTGACCACTGTCATGGCCCGAGCTGCTCATCCCAATGGACAACAGGGCTGATTTACTACATAAATTCCTATGAACTACCTTAATGGGTCAAAGTCTGTGCATCCCACTGATTCACTTTACCAGTAACTATTCTCGAATTAGCTAATGTCTGTTACCTGTACATACTCAGGCAATGCCAATGTGGTATCTTAAGGACAGCCCTGGGAACAGCTCAGCTGCCTTCAGCTCACCTCAACTATAACGCTGTGAACAGGTCTTTTCACCACACTGTTATGGGCCAGTTTGTATGCAGGAGTTTTCTGTCTTTTGCTATTGTAGAGCTCCCAATCAATTTGAACGTGTTAAAATTTGACTCTTATGATGAACAGTTTCTAACTCAACATTTTTTTTTTTTTTTTGCTCCTGTTCTTCCCAAGTGCTGGCTTACAGGAGTTAACAAATAACAGGTATTGCAGACTTCGCTTTAGTGACAAGACATTTGGGAAGGAATCATCCAACCTTGAAATAAAATCTTTATTGAAAGCAATTCTACATCCATGCCAGTCAGATACATTCTATGATCAGAAGAGATGTCCCAGGGGAAAGCTCGGTGCAGTAGACAGGGTTTATTACTTGGACCTCCTGTCAGTTCTTAACTCATTGACAATGACTGAGACATTCAGTACAACTTTGTTTTCTTTATTTGGAAGTAAAGTTAATCTACTTACCTTAACTGTGCCAAATGTACTGGAAAATAGCCTGATAATAAAACATACCATCCTACGATGTGATAATGCCTATGTGTGTATAAGTACATTTTGGCAGGGCTTTTGCAGTTGGGTATTTCAGTGTTAGGAAGGAAGCACAAGTACAGAATGACGCACAGATAAGCTATCAGATTTCTTCTGAATGTATTTCCTTTCCATTTAAGGCCTGAGATACAGCATCTTTCTACAACATAATTTTATTTTCCGAACTTAGTTCAGCTATAATAGTTCTTCAAGAAGAAATAAAATGCCCTTAGGTACCAAGAAGACAACAAAACTACAAAGTTTGGCTTTGAGAGTCCTCTTAAAACACAAACAACACTAACTTTCCTTTTAG